TTCAATTTATTTATTTGTTAGCAATACAATATTATCACAGTCCTAGGTGACCCGCAATTAGCAAGCTATTCTAGGCGGGCCACCCTTCTAAAACAAGTGCTGTCTCTGCTAATGATCACATACCGATACAATTAAACAAAGATAATCATTAAATAAAAATACAATTGTTAAATAAAATAAAATAAAATTAAGTCCGTTGAATAATTAAATAATCAATTGCAATTAATCAATAATCAATTGCGTTGTTTGTTGAGCTGGAATGTAGAATCGATGTAACCTTTTGATGTTTGTGTCCACTTCTGTGAAAATGTGCTCTTCTAACGATGGACATCATATTACTGGACTGAAAGCCGTTATTTACACCAAGTTTTTGGACAAATTGTTAGATGCAAATTTGTAGCATTGTCTTTCATTTCGGTTTGTTTCGGCAATTGTTTCATTTTCCCCCTACGGTAAGACTGAAAATATTAAGTTAGGTATAAGAGCCCTCTCATTAATATAAATTAAAGAAGCCTTATGTTAGCTTCTTGCTTAAATTGCTGGTACGTAAGGATCTCTTTCGGTTCATATCTTTGAGGAGATGACAGGTGCGCGTCATATCAACTTTTGTTTCCAATTATCTCTGTAGATTACTTGTCAGTGTGAGGGTACAACTTCTATTTCGAATTCTGATATCTGCAACTGTCAACCCTGTGGAGTTGAGGAAAGCTAGCCTGCAATTAATTTTTGTCTATAAGCAAGTCATTTGTCAGGCCAAGGACAAGTATTGATCGGACAAAAAGCCAGAGTGGTCGAACAAGAATTTTTTGGTCGTTAGAAATTGAAAAATAGAGATATTTACGTCATTTTCTTGCGATTTTTCAGTACAGATCCTTCCAGTTCTTTTTTGGGGAAGGATTTGTTAGAACTTGCAATGATATTAATTTAATAAAACTAAGAAAGTTTGATCTTTGCTTGTACACTTTCCTCTGCCCTGGGTTTGGTCGTCTTGTCTTTGCTCTATCCCTCTTCTGGTCATGTTCTGGTCATCGTTGTTCAAAAATTCAGGATTTTCGATCGAGTGCTTTTGTTTAACCCAACACGCTACCTTTTCACACTTGCTGAACACAAACAAAACCCAATGTTGATTGAGATTTTCCTGAAGAGATTTCAGATGTGATTGTGGGGCACACTCTAACTGCAGCTTTGGAAAATCCATGCTAACCAAACAAATAAGAATGTTTTTCCTCAGAAAAAACACAAATCTACGGTCGTGCTGTTTATCAAACTTTGTCTTTATTCACCTGATCACACGTGTATTCCGTGTTTTCCCGCGTAACAAGTTCCCCGAGAATGAAAGTTAGTTTTGGAATTGTAGGTGATCATGACTACAAAGCGTGACTAATTTTTACATTCAAGGCAATCACTACAGAAGTGGCGATAAATAAATTTTATGCTTGCACAAATTTGGTGACAGGCTTTTTTTATTATTATTATTATTATTATTATTATTATTATTATTTTGGGGGACATAAACTTTATTTTCGAGCCGTGGTCTTTTTTCTTTCTTTAAGCTATGGAGCCGACAACAGCGGAGTCGCATAAATCTGACTTACAATTACCTCAACATTCATAAATGCAAAAGTACCTCAGCCTATCAATCGTCGCTAAAATTTTCCCGTGCTATTAACATTTTGCCAGTCTCTTCTTTCCAGTTTCTCATTGACTTGTTGAGATATTTCCTTTGCTTTGACTTGCTGTTGAGGTTACTTTGGTATTGTCTCTAAGACGCTCCATGAGTACTCTAATCTTTTTTACCAGTTTGCAAAATATTGATCGGCCTCATAAACCAGTTTATCTGGTTATTTTCAAGAACTTTTCCCATGTGCAACACTGAACGACTGGCCAGTCGTCGAGTCATTGACTGAGTCAAACTACTGTGATTGGAGAACAACTTGTGTTGCCCTGAATCTGTATGCCTTATGGCTAAGTTGTTTTTCGCCATTAAAGGCTAACGGTTAACCTCAGAAACACCCTCATTTAAACCACAAAGTGATCCTCTTTAAACAGCTAGTCTGAGGACAGAAAGTGGGTGAAGAATAAAACTGTCATTAAACTCTAACACGATAGCACTGAAATCATTGGGCGGTTTAATTGGAGAACCACCATACTTGTTATAAATTTGTGAAAACACCGCGGTCTGATTTTCCTCGCTATCAAATAATTGGGGCAGTGCAAAGAGTGCATGAATGCAACACTGATGTAATCCTTCCCTGATTTTGTTAGCAATGGCAAAGGTGTACCTTGAGGACGGCGACACAGAGTACAAAAAAGGACACCTTCAGAACGCTAAACACTTCTACACTGAAGGACTTCAAGTCAGCTGCAGCGATGACCATTTAAATGCCGAACTCTACAGCAAAAGGGCAAAAGTGCATTTCTATTTGGGTGAGAGTTTGTACTACTGTTAAAACAGTCTGTGCTATTGTGCGCCTCAGCTAAAATTAAAGTATAAAAGATCAAAAGAAGAATCGTATGAATTATTCTTTCGTGAGAATAGTTTCATTTTGAGATTTGAGCTCTGGAAAATTTTATTTAGAATATTGCATAGAACAAAACACCATCTTTCCCCTTCAAAGTCAAGAAAAATTTCTCCTGGTTTAAAATAGACCAAGCCTTCACGAATCACTTCTAAACTCTCTCTTTGACAAGTTCATTTTAATAAAGAGTTATAAATCGACTATCAAAGTGGTAATTTTTACCATGGTTGCTCAGGTGTCCATGATCGCTCTTACATCCCATTCTTTACACTGATTTCGGTCTTGACTTTGACTGGCGTTCTTTGTAGGAAATTTCCAAGAAAGTCGAGACGATGCAACAGTTGCTGTTCAGTTGGCGCCAACTTTGATGGAAGCCATAGAATACGGTGAGTTTATTGGTGATAGAAGTCAATGGAAACAAAATGAGATTCTAGAAGAAAAGATCGTGGATCATTGTATTGAGATGTGCCTTTCTTAACTTTCATTGTTTAAGGAACTTGAACTTGAACTTTATTTTTATTTAGACACGGTAAATCTATCAGATAAAATAATAATATTATTACAATCTATTATTACAATTACATTCTACTTTAATCTAGATAAACATGATCTAAATTTGAAGGTGAAATAGTAAAATAAAGAAGTTCTGCTTTCCATAGATGCCGTGTGCGTTTTGTCGGTTCAGACGAAGAAATCGCGACAACCATTTCGAAAAGATTGAAGTGATTTTGCTTGCCACAATTCAGGGGACAAGCTGTTCCAGATAACCGCACCATTATCGCTAAAGCTATTTTTCAGGAAATTGGTGCGGGGCAATGGAACGGCTTGTTTGTTTTCAGAGTTCCTTAGATTATAAGGAGGATCATATTTAGTGAAAAGAGAACCAAGATAGTCGGGCGCAAGACCATGTATAGATTTATAGACCATGGTGGCCACTTGTATTTGTCGCTGAGCATCCAACCGTCTCCAGTTAAGTTGCTCAAAAAGAGGATCAGCGTTTGTGTAATAACTGGAGAAGGTCAGAATACGGGCAGCCCGGTTTTGCAACTTTTGGAGCTTATACGAAAGACCTTTGTTACAATGCCCCCAGACCTCGCTGTAGTAATTAAAATACGGTTGAACTAAGGCATTGAAAATGGACTCCAGCGTTTAATTGCTCCAAT